GGTGTAGCTCAAAGTTAACAGGCACCTGTAGCTGAACAGCTGTAGCAAACCTTATGAGCAAAAACATCATTTATTTTCTAGATAAATGAATTATTTGCTCGGATGTTTGAGACCTACTGTCTGTGTGTGTATAAGATGTCTCATTTTTATAATCTCAGTGTGTGAATGTGGAGTGTGAATGTGGAGTGTGAATGTGGAGTGTGAATGTGGAGTGTGAATGTGGAGTGTGAATGTGGAGTGTGAATGTGGAGGTTGTAAGGTGAGTCAGTGGGATGTTATCAGGATGTTGATATGGCTCTTGGCACTAAGCACTGAAATACTAGAGGGTGTGTGTTTAGGGGTGTGTTTACTTTCTGAATTGTTGCCAAACATTGGCCTTTATTATAAGGCTAACTGTAATTCAAACTACACTACTACACTAACAAACTGCTGCCATGGTAACATCAACTCATCATCTCTTGCTCTCTCGCACGCACTCTCTCTCGCACTCTCTAGCATGCTTTTTCTTTTCTCTCTTTCTCTCACACTTTTTCTGTATGTTGTCTCTTGTCTCTCTTTTCATTTTGTGTCACTCACTACCCCCCTTTTCTTTCTCACATATATATATATATATATATGTATATGTGTGTTTTCCCTGATTTTTTTCTCTGCTGTTTTTGTTTGCTATCCAATGTTAACCAGAGGAGGATGGGTTCCCTGTTTTGAGACTTTGTTCCTCTCAAGGTATATATATATATATACACACACACACACACACACACACACACACACACACACACACACACACACACACACACACACACACACCCTCTCTCTGATTTTACTGTACTCGGTCTTCTCAGGTTTGTGACATTGCAACATGGAATGTGCAAAGCCTGTGACCTGAGAGGAATTCAAGTCTGTGTGTGTGTGTGTGTGTGTGTGTGTGTGTGTGTGCTGTTCCACTTTCAGCAGTGTGTTCACTCTGAGGCTGTAATCCTCTCTTCTGTCCTTTTGTCCTCTCTCTTTTTCTTCTCTGTCTCCACTCCTGTATTCTCTCTCTCTCTCTCTCTCTCTCTCTCTCTCTCTCTCTCTCTCTCTCTCTCTCTCTCTCTCTTTCTCTCCCTCTTTCTCTCTCTCTCTCTCTCTCTCTCTCTCTCTTGCTGTCTCTCTCATCCCAGTGGAATGTTTGTAAGAGGGGTGGAGGGGTTTGAGTGGTTTTAACATTGTTTCTGAAAGCGACTTGACCGGTCACTGGGCAACTAATCACATCATCCAGTTACACTACAGACCATAATGGATAATGGACAATAGTTTGCGATGAACCCAGAACTGCTTCTGTTCTTTTCAGAAGACTTTTCAGTTTTTTAAAGAAATCTGCAGGGACATTTTTCCACACCTCCAGAGTCCAGTCTTAGAATTTGGTTGTATTTTCTGCTTCTCACTATCCAAGTAATCCCAGACACATTCAGTGATGTTGAAATCAGTTGGGGTGTTGAGTCGATTGTTCTGAGAACATCAGCAGCTTCTTTGTTTCATAAGTCTTGATCTTGATGATTCTTGATCTTCTCAGCCGGGGGTCTGCTTGGGGTCGTTATCTTGCTGAAGAATTAATTTCTTCCCAATCAGATGTTTTCCAGACGATATTGAAGGTACGATGTATTAAAATGTGTTTGCACTGTACACACTTATGATGCCTTCAGTGAAATATTTGTCCATTTCCTTTTTTCGAAAGCTGCTTCTTGGCAGCTTCACATACTTTTAGACTCAAGACTGTGAAGCTTGATTTTCTTCACTTCAGTTCTGTTTGTCTGATGGTGGCAGTGTTAGTGGTCTACCAGATTTTGCACTGTTGTTAAGAGTCCCATTTTCTCAAAATCTTGTAAGAATTTTCTCAACTCCAGTTTTGGAAACTTATGTTTGTCACTTGTTTTCCTTTGACTTTCCTGTTCTCTATGCAAATGGATTACCTTATATCAAATCTACTTAAAGATACTTCCTTTAGCCATTGTAAATGCATTTGAAATGAATTTTGAAAGCAGCTAAGATGTGTTTGGGTAGTAAAAGCTGTCATTGAGAGCTTTGGGAACAGCTTTTGTTGGGAACTGTAACTGGATGGGTTTAAGATTGGAAGGGTGGAAGAGTTAAAGTGGAAGTATGTACACTAAAGTAAAGAGAGAACAAATGAAATACTGATAGATTTGATATTATATTTATTTGTAAAGTGTTAATATAATATTCTGTTAAACTATTCCTGCTTTTTCCTGACTCTGACAAATGAATAACTTGAACCTAATGGCCTTTTTGTCTGGGTGTTAAAAAACAAAAGGGTGGTTTCTGATTTTTGCCCAGTACTGTATAGATGAGGAGTGATTTTTGTCTGTCAAGTGTTTGTTCAACCATTTCCAAACCTCTCCTCATGGAGCACAATATTATTTGTAGGTATTATCCAATGCGTAGTTTAGCTAATCAGTCCTTTATTAAATTAAATTAGGTGTGCTGCTGATGGAATATATTGTGACAAAAAAATCAATTCTTAGATGCATCGCAATGCGGACGTGGATGATTCTGAATCGATTCACAAATATCAAAAATCGATTTTAAAAAACTACATTTTAATTGATAACGTAATGTTGACGGAATGTAAAAGGCGGAACTTGGAAGTGCAGAAGTGCAGCGCCCGGACGGTCTGTGGCGGCAGATAACAAAAACACTACTGGATGAGTGAGAAATCCAACTGACTCCCTCTGCATTAAAGCCAGGTTAGGTCAGGAGTCACAAACCCAAATGTTAAGAAGAGCCATTTTGTCCTTTCAACAAAAATCAAACCACCTTGGGAGCCACAACATTTAATGTCCAGTATGTCTCAGTATGTGCTGATGTCCTAGTATGGGCTAAAAATATAAATGAAAACGTGTGCTTACTTTGTTGTGCTTTAAGCTTTAGCTGTAGACGCTTTCCTCCCATCTCCGCCAGAAAACTTTTCCTCAGAAGTAGATCAGTTAAATGTCTCTCAATGTTCGACTGTTTTATGAGGCTGAAGTCGCTTCTTATTCCCCAGCTTCTTGTTCGAATTTTCCGGGAAAATGCGAAAGACTTCATCTGCAACTTTTTTAGTGTTTGACAGTCTCTTGTTGCAGATTTAACATACCAGGAAACCAAATGCGTTGCTTATTAATGCGAAGAAGTCCATTTATCTCTAAATGTTCGTCTCAAATCTTTCTCTTTGGTTTTTCGTTAGCAACTAGCGTTAGCTAGGCGAGACTGCGCTGCTAGGTGACCTGCAGTCTTCACGCCAGGGGAAAACCCGTTTTCCTACCGGTTATACGTGCTGCCAACCAGAGGACCATCGAGCAAGCGATGTCAAAGCTTCCACCGGAAGCGAATTACAAACTGTATCGCAACTTTTATTGCCAAGGATTTGCGTCCGTTTTCAGTCGTTGAGAACCAGGGCTTTCGCGCTATGTTGGACACTTTGGAGCCGAGATACAGCGTCCAGTCTCAAAGATATTTTACTGACACAGTGACCCCCTGACTCTCTACAACGAGACCAAAACCGAATAAATGCTGCGTGGACATCCATTGCCACAGAGTCTTATGTCACCGTAACTGCATTTTATCACAGATGAGAGGCAGCAGCGTCTCATGTGCTCCAAACAAGAGCACTGAATGAGAGCCTTCCAGTTCACTGGCCACATCACTTCCATTTGATTTATTAATAAAGGATATTGGAAGCAAATTCGTTATGGATCATTACAAATACTTTGGTTTGAAAGTATCAATAAAGAAAATCAAAAAAGAAATCCTGTGTAGGAAAAAAAAAAGATGCATCGATAATCGTTTTATAATCGCATCGCAGCCCCCGAATCGTAATCCAATCAAATTGTGAGGTGCCTAGAGATTCCCACCCCTAGTGTATAACCTAGTAGCCCCGGATTGAGCCTGAGCAGAAGCTGAGGTTATCTGAGGGCCTGTGGTCCTGCAGGGTAATGGAGGTGATCTGCGGTCAGTCAGTGTGTTCTCATTACCCTGCAGTGGCTCTGGGTTTAATACAGAGCTGAACAGAGCTCTGATAACACCGTGTTTCTTCAGTGTGGATCTCTCTGACCCTCAGGGCTGTGTGCTTTCAGCTTCACATCAGCCTGTCAGCCGTGTATGTGTGTGTTCTAATGCTACATAAAGTCCTGATTTTAAAAAGCTGATTTTAATGAACTTTTTGTAGATATTACAATGTTCAAACACTGATTCAGACATCAAATTAAGCCTGAAGAAATGAGTAATAATTATAAGTATCTGTGAACTCTGCAAACTCTGCTAACTGGAAATAGCTGATGCTTGCTAACTCTGCTGATTAGAAATAGCTAATGATAGCTAACTGTGCGGACAGAAAACTTGTCCTATTATTTATTTTTTTCTTACTGTTCCTGTATATTTTGTATTTTTTTACTTAGTACTTAGTATTTATATATTTATTTATTGTTTGTAATTATAGCTCATGAAGTAGTGCAGAGTAAGAATTTTGTGTGGTGTAACTGTCTGCTTCTGTGTACATATGATAAACCTTTGATTCTTAAATATGACTATTAACACTGGCTAGCTCTGCTAACTAGCTAAATAGCTAATGCTAGCAAATTCTGCTTACTGAAAATAGGTGCAAGCTCACTCTGCTACTGCTAGCTCACTGTGCTAACTAGAAAAATTAATGCTAGCTAACGCTGCTAGCCTAAAAGGCTAATGCTAGCTAACTGCGAATAACACTAGGAAATGTTGCTAGCTTGAAATGCTAATGCTAGCTAACTCTGCTAACTGTCCCCCTGGTGTGAGCTGCTGCGAGTGAACAGCTAGACTTCTTCTCCCTCCACCTCTCTGCCACCTGCTGTGTTGAGGCACCAGCTGTTCAGCGTTCAGACATTTGCTGATACCAGATTTGGGAACAAAAAGGAGTAATGAAGATACGTTTATCACCCAGGTCTACGTCAGGCACACATAACTCATCTCTTTATTTGCTCTGTCTGTTTCAGGTTGGGATCAGGTGGATCAGTGTGTGTGTGTCGTTCTCTCGTCATGGCGTGTATTTCAGAATGGTATGCAGGGAAGAATGTGCTGATCACCGGGGCGACGGGTTTCATGGGGAAGGTCCTGGTGGAGAAGCTGCTGCGTTCCTGCCCAGAGGTTAAAGCCCTCTACCTGCTCGTCCGGCCGAAAGCAGGCCAGTCCATGCAGGAGCGTGTCCAGGACATGCTGAAGTGTAAAGTAAGTGGGTTGTGTGTGTTTTATATATGTGATTGGAAGGTTGGTGCTACTGTGTGTGTGTGTGTGTGTGTGTGCTGCTTTTACTCTCATTGCAAGGACTGCTTGTGTATTTGTGCTGTTGTACTTTGTCTAGGGACATTTTATGTTGTGCTGGTGTGCTGTTTCTACTTTCTGTGTGAGCACTGTGTGTCGTATCCAGAGCTGTGTTCAAAATATCAAAATGGCAGTATATCATGGATGAGCTTATGGTGATGCGCATATTGATGCAGTGATGCTTGTATCGATATTTGTAAATTTACTTTACACGGCATGTATGCCAAGTGGAACAGATTGCCTAGAAAAGAGTGTGACGTTTTGCAGCATCTAGCATGTAGAAACGTGCTCTTATAGTTATATTTTTAGAGTGATGTATAGGTATAGCATTTAGCTCTTTATTATTATTTGTATAAAAAGCGAAAGTGGTCTGGTTTCACTCTGGTCCCTTCTGCGTGTCTTGTGTTCAGGAGAAACGGTGCCAACTGTTTCTAAGGCATGTGGGCTCCTTGTTGCACTCAAGGTAGTTTCATTTCTGCTGATGTGGTTAAGTTTGTGGTTGTGGAGAGTTATTAGTTTATAGCTGTTGTGATTAGCACAACTAAACAGATGATGCTGTATGTGATCTGTGATACTCATATACATATGTGCCGAGTACTATGTGCTGTGCTGCTGTCTTTGTGATTAAAAGTGCCGAACGTTCACTCTGTGTTCTGACCAACACCTCAGAGTGAAGCTCAACTATAATATAGTTTGTAGAAGCTCCCCCAGATTGATGGGGGAGATTAGTTTTTATCCCCAAAAGTACATACCTGCACTGAGAACACTGAGGACATATAAACAATCATAAACACCTCCTGCTGTTTGCTTTGTGTAATTTACCTGTGTTTATTCATGTATTCATCATTCTTGTACTAACCTTAAAAAACTGACTTGATTTAATACAAGAAATGTCATTATCATTCTCTCCAAACTTTTTTTTTTTATTTATGCTTAATTACTGTAGCCTTTTTAGATGAACATTGACCAAAAGTGTCTGTTGTACATCTGGTGTGGAGTATCATTGTATCATATCGTGAAGTTGCTGACAGTTGGTTTTTTCCATGATATACATTGTTCAGAGTGGGCTTTACACATATGAGAAATACTATTTTATGATTACAACCACCTTTATTTGAAACATAAAATGTGTTATACGTCAGCTGCTATTCTTTTCAAACTGCATTGCATATGGATAAACAAATCTACTGTACAAAAGTCAGAAACCAACCTTTTGCCAGTTTTGCAAGTGCAAGTTTTTCAGAAATAATGAAAAAACACATTTAACAGAAAATTACACACAAATGTCCAACACTAAGTATTGCTTCAGTGCTGAAGCTATTAGATCAGAACCATCTTTAATTTATGTTTTACATCTCTAATAACTGTGTTACTGTTTTTGTAGAAACTGTGTTTTTACTGTTTTACAGCCTTTATGGGGACAGTGTGGTTTTACTTTTTTATGCACACTTTATGGTGAGTGTGTGTGTGTGTGTGAATGTTCACTGTCTTTGTTGGGACTGTTTGTATGTAAACTGTGTTGTCTCTGTGGGAACTGTGTGTGTTTTACATTCACTTTTTTGGAGACTGTGTTTGGCTGTAATGCTGGCTGTAAATGTGTGTGTGTGTGTGTGTGTGTGTGTGTGTGTGTGTGTGTGTGTGTGTGTGTGAGGTTTATCTTTAGGACCTGATTTGACTAAAGGGGAGTGTGTGAGAATGAGACCTGATATTTTCTTATGACAATATTGAAAAATGCCTTTTACAGTGGTTGCTATAGCGACATAACCTCAGAATCAATTTGAATGTGTGTTGGAGCACTGCATTTTCATATGTGCTGCCCACACACACACACACACACACACACACACACACACACACACACACACACACACACAGATATACCTGAGTTTGGGTGTTGACAGTGATGTTATCTTCACATATAGTGAAGATTCAGACAGCAGGCATGAAATGGGGACACTAACACTGGGGACATAACTGCCCTGTCCAGGCTCCGCCCACAAATACACATCTTTTGTAGCTGCTTTTGTGTGATTGGACAAGTTTTACAGAATGTTGGTAAAAATCGCAATCAACCTAATGAGGAACTGCAGCGACCTTTGTTTACAGTCTCTGCATAACTCTACAACAACAAAGTGCAGCCCAATAATCAAAGCTACTCCAACATGCTAATGTTAGCTCGATTGCACAATACAAAAAGTAAAACGCTGGGAGATTTACATGTGCTCACTGTAGCTGTAAGGTGGATTGAGATTGCACTGTGAATGTAGGTGTTGTCACACCCTGCACTGTAAAAAGTAGAACAGTGCAGAAGCTGTTTTTGTAGTATGAATTGAAGTAAAATATTGCTGTTGTCCATCTAACCCTTTCATTTTGCTTTGCATTGTTTTATTCAAAGTACTTGAGTTTAAGGTTGACATAATTGATTATATTGGTAAATAAAATGAATAACCTGGTGATTATTCTGACGATTGAACAAGTAATCAAGTAAACAAGTTTTTTTATTATTTTTTTTTTTGGGAGGGGGAAACACACATTATATAATTTATAAAATGAGAGAGACTTAATTATAGAGTTAGAGACTTAGTGATCACTGTTTTAAACACAACATCTTAACATATAACCAGGGAAATCATGACAATTACAAGCTGATTTTATTTGAAAGCAGAGTCCCACCTTTTTAATATGAAAGCAGAACCAAACTCTGTATTGACAGAAATCAACGCAGAGCTGTAAGTGTATTACTGAAGGGAAATTGTAATAGGCATTGCATTCACCATTTATTGCATTTATAATGTTAAAGGGTAATAAAAATAACTATTCTTATTAAGTAAAGATCAGGGATATGGAGCAAACTGACTACAGCAGCTTACAATGTTCATAATTTCCTAATGGTTATAGCCTAGTAGGCTGTAAAAATCACCATGCAGCCAAAGGCTGTACATTTAGCCATAATTTATCTCTGCTACAGTTTTTTAGCCAGGCTGTTCTTTCTTTAAAAAATGAAAGAAAGATATATTGAGAGACTGTTTACACAAAGGGGAAATACCAGTATTACTAAAAAAGCACATCTAAACACTCTTGAGTGCTGTAAAAAAGCAACTTGAGTGCTAATAATGCTCCCTTGTGGCAAATGTTCACACTGCTAAGCATGACTTTCTAGTGACCTCAGGATACCCTGCTTATCAATCAATTGTAAACTAATCACTAAGTGATTCAAGGGGAATTTTAATCAGTTAATTTTTTTAAATCAAGTATAATTGAGTAATAGTGACAGTCCTATTTGAGTTGAATTCAGCCAATTAAATTGCTTGTTACCACACAAAGTCATTTTTCTAGGTTATGCTTACGAACCATTTGTTACAAGTGTCAGTCATGAGCTACAGTTTCTCATTAGGTTGAATGAATATCTCACTCTAAATGTAGGTATTGTGATATAAACTGAGTTGTGAGCTACAGTTTCTCATTAGGTTGAATGAATATCTCACTCTAAATGTAGGTATTGTGATATAAACTGAGTTGTGAGCTACAGTTTCTCATTAGGTTGAATGAATATCTCACTCTAATGTAGTTTGTATAAACTGAGTTTGTGCTACAGTTTCTCATTAGGTGAATGATATCTCACTCTAAATGTAGGTATGTGATATAAACTGAGTGTGAGCTACAGTTTCTCATTAGGTTGAATGAATATCTCACTCTAAATGTAGGTATTGTGATATAAACTGAGTTGTGAGCTACAGTTTCTCATTAGGTTGAATGAATATCTCACTCTAAATGTAGGTATTGTGATATAAACTGAGTTGTGAGCTACAGTTTCTCATTAGGTTGAATGAATATCTCACTCTAAATGTAGGTATTGTGATATAAACTGAGTTGTGAGCTACAGTTTCTCATTAGGTTGAATGAATATCTCACTCTAAATGTAGGTATTGTGATATAAACTGAGTTGTGAGCTGCAGTTTCTCATTAGGTTGAATGAATATCTCACTCTAAATGTAGGTATTGTGATATAAACTGAGTTGTGAGCTCAGTTTCTCATTAGGTTGAATGAATATCTCACTCTAAATGTAGGTATTGTGATATAAACTGAGTTGTGAGCTACAGTTTCTCATTAGGTTGAATGAATATCTCACTCTAAATGTAGGTATTGTGATATAAACTGAGTTGTGAGCTACAGTTTCTCATTAGGTTGAATGAATATCTCACTCTAAATGTAGGTATTGTGATATAAACTGAGTTGTGAGCTACAGTTTCTCATTAGGTTGAATGAATATCTCACTCTAAATGTAGGTATTGTGATATGAACTGTGTTGTGTGCTACAGTTTCTCATTACGTTGAATGGGAATTTTTACCAGCACCCTGTAAAGATTGTCCAACCTCAAAAGATACAAAAGATTGCATTTGTACATTTGTGAGCAGAGCCTGGTGGGGGGGGGGCAGTTATCTCCCCAGTGTTAATGTTCCCAGTTCACACCTGCATAACATCACTGTTGGGACATAGGCCTGAGTTTATCGCTCTCTCTTTCTGTTATGGAAATAATTTTTTTGCGTACGTGTTTCAGGAATGTTATCTGGTATGCAGGTATAGAGATATTATCTGATATCCGTGTGTGGTTTTGCCAGGATGTTATCTGGTAGATTTATCTGGTATTTGTGTGTTTTTTTATATTTTTTTATTTTATTTTTTTTTCTTAAGGGAAATCAAGTTTTTTTTTTTTTCTTTCTGTCTTCCTTTCTTTAAACAAAGTTGGCTGTCATTGTTTTCTCCATCAGCTCTTTTTCACAATGCAGTATTGTTCTCTTTCATTTACAGTCTGTTCTCTTCTTCCTCTGCTCTACTCCCTCTTTCTTTCTTCTTTCATCGCTACAAGGACACAACAAACTCTCTAAGCTTCTGGATGGACATTAG